CCTCCCATCCTCCCCTCCCCCACAGAATCTCTGGAGTGAAAAACACTGCTGCAGCCACCAATCAAGACTCGCTATTCGACTCACAGTGGGGAGGGGAATGGGCGTGGGTATAACTCGGGTTGCCACCCGTCCCGGTTTTCCCAGGATCGTCCTGGAAAATCTGTAGGCATTACGAGTTTCTGTTTTTTGGTCAGTTTTCATCCAGCAGTGGATGGCTCGTGGCTCGTGATGTTAAACACACCACCCGAAGACATTTACACGAAATTCTCCCACCTACTGTCATTGGGGAGATGCTATTCTACCCACGTAACAATAAAAGATAAGAATAAAGAATAAACATATTCTTATCTTTTATTTTTATTTCCACCTACGTGACTTTACCGAAAGAACCCAAGAGTATGGATCCTTGCAGTCACGAAAACTTCAAATCTAGAATTACCCACGTAACGCCCCGTTTTTGTTGTTGTACGGTGGAGGTGGCAACCCTTGGCATAACCACGTAGCGAGCAGCAGCAGCAGTGCTTGTCACTACAGCTGGGACTGTCGTGCCAGGTCAGGTCTCACTCCCCGCCACCCTCCCTGCATCTCTGCAAGTTCATCTTCATATTCTTAGGTTTTTTCGGTAAAGTCACGTAGGTAAAAAATTAAAATTAATGAAAAATAAAAAAAATCACGACGTTTCGGAGGCAATACAAGCTTCCGTCTTCAGGTGGAACCGTCACAGCCACTTGATACAGCTGTCGTGGCTGTGACGGTTCCACCTGAAGACGGAAGCTTGTATTGCCTCCGAAACGTCGTGATTTTTTATTTTAATTTTATTTTACTTTTATTAATTTTACATTTTTACCTACGTGACTTTACCGAAAAAACCTAAGAATATGAATCCTTGCAGTCACAAAAGCTTCAAATCTAGAAGTTCATCTTCATTTAGACATCTCCCGCGTTCGCGCAGCAACTCGGTGATCGATTTCTTCTTCTTTACAAGGGCGCGTCAGCTCGTAATAATAATAATCACAATATTAATTATGACATCGTGTAAAATGTATCGATAGCGATTGGATTACGGAGAAGACTTTCAAAAAATAAATACAGTTAACTGTCGTCGTTATCATCATTATTGTTATTGTTATTTCTGCTCGTTTGTTTTGTTTTAGTAAATGATGGCGATGCTGGGGACAACACAAGACGTGGAATGAGTTTGGAAGGAGAAAACAAAGACGACAAAACAAACTGAGGACTGGATCGCGGAAAATCTTAAAGCGTCTGCTAGCGAGTTTATAAACCATCATGCCTGTAATGTACATAGCCTCCCCAGGAAATCATCATCATCAGCAATTACTAACATCATCATTAACATCATCATCATCAGTATCATCATGAAATAGAGAGGATAACGTGTAACTCCCCTCCCCACCCCCCCCCCCCCATGACTGGCAAAACACTTAAAAGTCCGTGGTTTTGTTTGTTTAATATTTTCCGTGCGTGCGTGTGCGTGTGTTGTTGTTGTTGTCACGATGTGTTCAACACACGGCGGAGTTGGGTGCACACACGCGCGCTCAAGTACACGGGTGACGAGAGGACTTCTTGCCAAACGTCGTTGTCATCATCATCATCGTCATCATCGATTCACTTTGTACGCGGCGAGCACGCGTAGGGAAGCAGAGATTAAGACGAGGTCGCGTAACGGGGCTCGCGTAACGAAGTGGGTAACGCCGGTAAGATGACGTAGGGTAACAAGGCTATAGGATAACGAAGGGGGCGGGTAGTTCATTGCTCCCGTATCTCTGTGTTAGAGGGGGGGGGGGTGTGGGGAGACACAAGGGGGGTGGGGGGAGTGGGATACTACTACCAACTACCAGTGGCGATTTTCTGTAACAGTAAAAAGGGGTTAGGGGGGGGCACAATCTAATACGTGTTGTGCGTGTGTGTGTACTGGTGCAGAGGGGGGGGGGGTGCATCCAAACCAACCTCCCCCTCCCTCCACCCCCTCCAGTATAAAACTATCATGAGTGGAATGGGATTATTCTTAGGTTTTTTCGGTAAAGTCACGTAGGTGTTGCCTCCGAAACGTCGTGATTTTTATTTGTATTTTTTATTTTGCTTTTATTAATTTAAATTTTATTTTTTTACCTACGTGACTTCACCGAAAAAAACCTAAGAATATGAATACTTGCAGTCACGAAAGCTTCAAATCTAGAATGGAATGGGATTGTAGCCGAGTTCACATCTGGGCGAGTAGTTTGGCAATCAGCACGGGTGTAAGCGTGGCTCGTGTCTGACCCCGCCCCCCTTGCCAGCGTAGACACACCCCCTTTGATTAGCTCCGCCCCCTTTGATTAGCTCCACCCCCTCCCCGCATCAGCATCGTAACGACCAATCAGAGTCCCACAAAGTGTGCAGCACGTGGCTTCGAATCGTCGAGCTGTACGCCGTTTGAGAGTGGAGTCTGGACCGTGAGTAGCAGGAATCATGGAGGGGGAGAGGGGGTGCCCAACAGCTCGCAACCGGTTGCAGAGACGTTCACATTACAAGCGAGCCTCTTGCACACAACCGAGTTGCATTCAATCGAGTTGCATGCGACTGATCGCTCGGGTGTCAAGTCGGCTTCAGTGGACAAATGGAGGGGTCACGGGATATCGCCCGTGCGACTGCGACGGGATCTGGCGGAGGGAAGGAAGCGATGGTGATGTGTCGTGGTGGTGGTGGTGACATCAGGTGTGGGGTCTGGGGGGGGAGTTTGGGGGGCGCCTGTATCTGCCCCCCCCCCTCCCACAACTACTAACATCTCCCTATACCCCCCGCCCTCCTCACACGTGCACACAATGGGGTAACGCAGGGATTGTAGGGAGCGATTTTTTTTGTAACATTTGGGAGGGGCCCGGGCAAATAACGATTAATCGATTCATCGATTCAAACAGCGGCTTACACTAAACACATGCATCGACCCATGCGCGCGGACACAGACTTATCGATTCAAATACCTCACGTGTGATTGGCTCATAGACCACAATGGCAACGAAGTGATATAATCGATCCTTCACCGAATCGACGCGATTATTCGCAGAGTGGAAGGCGTGATCTGTATACCCCCCCCCACCGCCGTGCATCACCCCCCCCCGCCCCACTGTTTAAATATCACTTAAAACTCCCGCGCTAATGTCATTATCGCTATTTTGCAAAACTCAAAAAATATAACCGATTCCTCCTCCAGCCTCACACCACCACCCCCCCCCCCCCCAAAAAAAAAACAACAACCGACGTGTCCATACTACTGTGGAAAGTTCGCTTACGATCAGTCGAGACCGATAACGGCGACACCGCGGGGGGCAGGAGGGATGACACGACTCGTGACGTCATCGCGGTGCCAGGCTAGGTGCACGCCGAGTGCCGCGTGTCAATGGCGGAGTACTTCGTCGGCAGGAGGTGACGCGATCGTCGTACACAAAGACAAAGGTGCCACATTCCGGCGTGTAGCCTACACACGATGTTGGGGGCAGGGGGATGTTAGCGAGCACCTATGAAGGCCAAACTCAAAACACGTGTTCACGCGCACACGATCACGCTCACGTGATCACGCGCACACGAGCACGTGATCACGCGCACACGAGCACGTGATCACGCGCAAACAAAGACGAAGACACACACGGGCACGCACAACAACAGCGGCCGCCATTCGCCACTCAGTGCCGGTGACGTCACCGCGGCGCGCCTGTGCCAGGCTAGGTGCACATTGAGGCCACCCGGACAGGCACAGGTGCCACGGGTCGACTGACTGAGGTGACTGGCAGATGCACCACCTGTGCCCCCTACTGTGCCGAGGCTGTACACACACATGCACAACAAATACAAAGATCCCCCGTATAGCCTGAACAGACTGCCGGGGCAAGTGCTGTTAGCGAGCACCTATGAAGGTCGGCACAACACACGACCGGCTGCCTTTGTTTCCCCAATGCTGATGTTTAAACACTGCATCACGTGGTCATTTACGACCGAGCCGACCTAGGGGAGGCCCAAGACCGGTTCGGAGATTCGTCGCAGGTGTTGGTTGGCTGCGAGAGCGGGAATCGAACTCGGGCAGCAGGGTTCGTAGCGCAGTGCGCTAACCGCTACCCCACCACTCTCCATGAAACACCTACAAAGACGCACACGCACAGACTCATACGGACACCCACAACATCACGAAACCGCAGTTCGCCACGGCGTGGCGGTGACGTCACCACATCGCTTGTGCCAAGCTAGGTGCACTTTGAGGTTGTCACGTGACGTGTGGAAGGCTCGTTGCTGGCAGGTCACGGGACATTCCCAGGTGTTATGGGTCGACCGACTGAGATGACTGGCAAACACACACACACATATATACACACACACACAGAGACACCTACATGAAGACACGCGCACTCATACAAATACACGCTTACACACACACAGAGTCATACACACACGCACAGTGACACATCTACACAGGTAATGGCTGTTACACAAGCGGCTGTGCCGCGTGCATGAATCCCGTCCCCCCATCACTCTACTCTCACTGCGGGGGTCATAGGGGCTCGGGGGGGGGGTAGGGCCCCCCCCCCCCATATCATATCATTACACACACCCCCCCCCCCTGTCCTGTTCACTCGAGGGACGTCAGGAAGAACAGACGATACAGCTGAGGGAGGTGACGATGTTCGTGGGCGTCTGTCTCTTGACTGGCCCATCGCTCCATCACGTGCCGGGCGGCGGTGACGGCGGTGATGGCGGTGATGTTTCATGGGCATCTCGTCCGGTCCAGGGTCACCACGGCCCACAAGCCCCCTCCACCATCACACCATCGCTATCGGTGTCAGCGGCGACGGCGGTGATGTTCACAAGCGCCGCTCTCCACCTGTCCGTCACTCTCCATCGCTCTCCCATCAACGCACGGCCATCACGGAGAGCGGGGTGATGTCGGTGATGGTGGTGGTGATGTTCATTGGTATCCGTCCGGCTTTTTGCTCCATTGCTCACCGCCACCACCACCCTGAGGGCGGTGATGGCGATGGGGGGGGGGGGGACATCAGCTTCTCCACGACGTGCCCCATCACCACACCAGCCCCATCACCATCGATTTACCAGCACCCATCAGCTTCACCAGCACCCATCACCAGCAGCACCATCATCACCATCACCAACAGGGGAGGAGGATGGAAGTTTATGGAGGCACCGCTTTTCTGTGCCCTAAGCCACAGAACCAAAGTCCATCGCGCGCACGCCGGAGGCGAGGGAATGAATGTTGAATGAGCGAGCGAGCGAGCGAGCAGAAGAGTGAGCGAGCGAGTGAGTCTTCTTGAGTGAGCTGAAGAGCAAGCGGTCAGTGGGTGAGCGTGGGCGAGCCAGTGAGTGAGCCAGTGAGCGTTGTTGAGTGAGCGTTGTTGAGTGAGTGAGCGTTGAGTGAGTGAGAGTTGTTGAGTGAGTGAGAGTTGAGTGAGAGTTGATTGAGTTAGCGTTGGTGAGTGAGCGTTGTTGAGTGAGTGAGTGAGAGTTGAGTGAGAGTTGATTGAGAGTTTAGTGAGTGAGAGTTGAGTGATTGAGGGTTGAGTGAGTTAGCGTTGTTGAGTGAGTGAGTGAGAGTTGAGTGAGAATTGAGTTACCATTGTTGAGCGAGTGAGTGTTGTTGAGTGAACGTTGTTGAGCGAGTGAGCGTTGTTGAGTAAGCGTTGTTGAGTGAGTCGATGAGCCCGAGCGAGCCTCAGCGGTCCTCGTGTGAGCCGCAGTGCGAGCGACGGAGCCTCAGCGGAGCGAGTCGAGTGCGCGAGCGAGCGATTGAGTTTGGCTGAGCGAGGCATCGGGTGCGTGAGGACGTGAGCGAGCCGCCTTTGTCTTCCCACTCCTTGCGCCGAGTCAAGGTGGAGGAGGGTCCAATGCGGCGGTGGGTGGTGGTGTTTGGTGGTCGAGGCGACGATGATCGTCGCGGGGATTCGGTGGAGGAGAGGGGTGGGGGGGTGATGGAGAAGGGGGCAGCGCTGCATCGCCACCAGCGTGCCGTGCCTCGCGCAAATCAGCCACGTTCGCTCATCGCCTCCAACCGACCGGGGGGGGGGGGGATGCAGCCCCCTCCCTAGCCCCCCCCCCAGCCCCCCAGCCCACCGACGAGCACGCTAGACGGGCCGGTCCACTGCGTACTGGCACGCGCTGAAATTGGACGGCGGCGCCTGCAGGCCCGCGTATCCGGCGAAACTCGAGTGGTGCTGCTTCGCCTTGAGCCTCAGGCTGGCCAGGCTCGAGTTGCAGGGGTCGCCCCGGTAGACGTAGGGCGGCGCGGGCGCTCCGGCCGCGTGGGCCGCCACCGCGTACGGGCACCCGCCGGCTCCAGACGCGGGACTCGTGGCCACGGGCGAACCGCTGAGGTTGCCGATGCCCGGGTGGTGTTGGGGCATCATCGAGGAAGAGGCGACGGCGGCTGCCGCGGCCATGCCCGTGGTGCACGGGGGCGAGAAGACGGGCGGCGAGACCGAGTTGAAGAATGGAAAGTTCTTTGAGAGGGGCGCCGCGGAGGGCTGAAGCGCCTTCGCCCAGTTGTTGTAGCCGTAGCTGGCGGCCGAGTAGACGTCGTCGTAAGGCTGCATGAAGCCGCTGAACTGCGCCCCGAAGCCGTTCTTGCACAACTCCGCCTGCTGGTTGCGCTCACGCTTGCGCCACTTGGCGCGCCGGTTCTTGAACCAGATCTGTGTGTGTACGTGTGTGTGTTTACGTGTGTATGTACGTGTGTGTACGTGTGTGTATGTACGTGTGTGCACGTGTGTGTATGTACGTGTGAGTACGTGTGTGTGTACGTGTGTGTACGTGTGTGTGTGCGCGTGTGTATGTACGCGTGTGTACGTGTGTGTATGTATGTGTGTACGTGTGTGCGTGTTGGGGAGACGTCGGGAGGGAAGAGACGCGGGGAGGGCGGTGAGCACTGGGGGGTGGGGGGCAGAGCACACGGGGGGGGGGGGGGCGCCGCTTCGCTCCGCACGCCGTGAATGCGGCACAGAGCCAACCCCCCCCCACGCCACTCTCGGTCTCCTTGTAGAGCAGTCTCCCTGTCTTAGCCTTTAGACTCCCCCCCCCCCATGTCTCCGAGTGTCTCCCCACGTCTCCCCATCTCCCCACGTCTCTGCGTGTCACCCCCACATCTCCCCACGTCTCCCCCATCTCCCCACGTCTCTGCGTGTCACCCCCACATCTCCCCACGTCTCCCCCATCTCCCCACGTCTCTGCGTGTCACCCCCACATCTCCCCACGTCTCCCCCATCTCCCCACGTCTCTGCGTGTCACCCCCACGTCTCCCCACGTCTTCCCCGTGTACTCCCCCCTCCCCCGCCTCTATTTTTATCTCTCGGCGCGGCGCGCGCGACGCGGATTGCCGGGAAAGCGGAGACGCCGCCGCGGGCTCTCACTCACTCGCTCGCTCACTCGCTCGCTCACTCGCTCGCTCACTCGCTCGCTCACTCGCTCGCTCACTCGCTCGCTCACTCGCTCGCTCACTCGCTCGCTCACTCGCTCGCTCACTCGCTCGCTCACTCGCTCGCTCACTCGCTCGCTCACTCGCTCGCTCACTCGCTCGCTCACTCACTCGCTCGCGACGCGTCGCTCCTGGCAGCGGCGCGCTCACGTCTTGTAGACAGCAGCAGCAGCAGCGTCAGCAACATCATCATCAGCAGCATCGTCATCAGCAACATCGTCATCATCAACAACATCAGCAACATCATCGTCAGCAACATCATCGTCAGCAACATCATCGTCAGCAGCAACATCGTCATCAGCAACAGCAGCAGCAGCAGCAGCAGCGTCAGCAACATCATCATCAGCAACATCGTCATCAGCAGCAACATCGTCATCAGCAACATCAGCAGCAGCAGCATCATCATCATCAGCAACATCGTCATCAACAGCAACATCATCATCAGCAACATCATCATCAGCAGCAGCGTCAGCAACATCATCATCAGCAACATCATCGTCAGCAGCAACAGCAACATCAGCAACATCAGCAACAGCATCGTCATCAGCTGCATCAACAGCAGCAGCAGCAGCGATATCGCCAACAACATTAAGCAGCAGCAGGAGCATCAGCTGCGGCAACATCACCATCAGCAACATCATCAGCATCACCAGCAGCAGCGTCAGCAGCAGCAGCAGCAGCGAATCGTCAACAACATTAAGCAGCAGCAGCAATATCAGCTGTGGCAACAGCAACGGCAGCACCATCATCAGATGTAGCAGCGGCATCAACAGCAGCAGCACTGGCATCGTAATCATCATCAGCACCAACAGCATCAGCAGCGGCACAATCAGTGTCATCATCATCACCACAGACATCACCATTATCACCACAGACGTCATCATCAGCAGCAGGGATGAAAAGATTCGGCCCCGATTACCGGTAACCGATTAACCGCGGAGTGCCTCCCCCAATATCGCCCGTACCTCCCCCTGTCCCCGAATGGCCCCCTCCTCCCCCACCACTGCACCCCCCCTACCCCCCTACCCCCCACCCCCCACACCACCCCCCCTACCCCCCACACCACTCCTCGTCTTCTTCTGTCGTACGGCGTTTGATAAAGCGGCTACCCAGCCGTGAGCCGTGCGTGTTGGCGTCACCCCACCAGCCCCCCCCCCCCCCCCCGCGTTCGCCTTCCCTCCCCCCACTAATACCCCCTCTCACACCCCCCCACCACCACGAACGCACTGATTTGTGTCAATGCGCGGTTACTTTTACCCTCCCCCCACTACCCCTCACTAACCCCCCCCCCCCCCCCACTAACCCCCCCCCCACTAACCCCCCCTCCCACCTCTACTTAAACCCACCCCGCTTCACCCCGCACCTGCCTGCGGTTGGCTACGTACGGCGCGAAAGAAGTTCAGCATTACAGAACGCGCGTCTTGTGACGTCCCTTACGTGCCGTCAAGTCACAAAGAGCCTTCGAAGCTCATCGGATTCCTCCAGCAGGAAACATAAAACATTTTCAGATTCGTGCGTAACCCCCCCCACCACCCCCCCCCCATTACATCCCCCCCACCACCTCCCCACCACCACCCCACCACCACCACCTCCCCCCCACCACCTCCCCCCCACCACCTCCCCCCATCACCTCCCCCACCACCACCTCCCCCACCCCCCACCACCTCCCCCACCCCCCACCACCTCCCATCATCTCCCCCCCACCACCTCCACCCCACCACCTCCCCCCCATCACCTCCCCCACTCACCCCCCACCTCCCACCCCCCACCACCTCCCCCCACCCCCCACCACCTTCCCACCACCCCCCCCCCCACCACCACCACCGCCCGTACCCGCACGCGCGCCTCGGTGAGGTTGGTCCACACCGCGATCTCCTCCCGCGTGGACATGTCCGGGTAGCGGTTGCGCTGGAAGGTCGCCTCCAGCTCCTGCAGCTGCTGCGACGTGAAGTGCGTCCGCTGCCGCCGCTGCCGCTTCTTCTTGGACGGGTCATCGACGCTGCCTCCAGCGCCTGTGGAGGTGGGGGGCCCACCCCCGTGGGCACCGGGACCCGCTCCGACCACCCCCACCAAGTCGTCACCGACACCAACAACACCACCGCCACCCTTGCCCGTCTGCAGCTTCTCAACGTCTGGAGAGAGAGAGATTGAGATTTAAAGCTTCTTTCGTGACTGCAGGATGGATTCATATTCTTGGTTCTTTCGGTGAAGTCACGTAGACGGGAAATAATAAAAGAATAAAAATATAAAACAATAAAATTCTCACGACGTTTCGATTGCAACACAAGCAATCATCAGGTGTGAAAACCACAGCAAGAAATGTTTTTCAAATTTTTTTAAATGTTCTTGCTGTGGTTTTCACACCTAATGATGATTGCTTGTGTTGCAATCAAAACGTCGTGAGAATTTAATTGTTTAATTTTTATTATTTTATTATTTCCCTTCGACGTGACTTTATCGAACGAACCAATAATAAGAGAGAGATGTTGGGGTGGAGGAGGGGGTGGTGGTCACACACAGACACACAAAAGACAAAGATTCCTCCGGATTTACTTTTATTTAAAGAATGTTTTGGGGCAAGTGCTGTTTCGCAAGCACCAACCCCTCACCAGGTACTCATTTGAGGCTGAGTCGGCCTAAGGGTCGGGAAGGAACAGGACCGGTTCAGATATTCGCCACTGGTGTTGGCCGTGAGCGGGAATCTAAACTCGTAACGCGGGTGCTCTATGAGTTTACACTCATAGACACTCACACTTGATCAACACACACACATGCAGCCATAAACCATTACATCCACTTACACGAACTGGCTAATACACACGCGCGCTTTAAACACACACTCGACTCAATGAGAACACTTAGCCAATCACACACACACACAAACTATCACATCCACACACACACATACTCTATCACACACATAAACTATGACATCCACACACATACACTATCACACACGCACATAAACTATCACATCCACACACACACATACACTATCACACACACATACACTATCACACACACACATAAACTATCACATCCACACACGCAAAGACAAAACCCTCCCGGATAGCCTAAACAGACTGTTGGGGCAAGTGCTGTTAGCGAGCACCTATTAAGGCCGGCACGGCACGCGAGGGGATTGGTGGTCAGCACCACGCCCGGCCGCCTTTGTCTCCCTAGCGGCGACGTTTATACACACACCGTACTCATTTGAGGCTGAGTCGACCTATTGGGAGGCCCATGACCCGTTCAGATAATCTTCGCCGGTGTTAGTTGGCGTGCTAACCGCTTAGCGCCCCCCCCCCCACACTCTCAGGGACACTCAGACGCGAAGGCGACACACGACACGACACAAAGACGCGCACGCCTGTACACACTCACAGAGGCAAAGATCCCCCGAGTAACCTCCTTTGTCTCTCGGGGCAAGTGGGCTCTGAGAGCGAGCGCCAATGAAGGTCGGCACACGGGCAGACCTTCGCCCGGCCGCCTTTGTCTCTTCCCAGTGCTGACGGTTATGCATCGCGCCAGCTGCCGTATACTCGTTTAAGGGCCGAGTCGATCTAAAGGTGGACCGGTTCTGATTTTGTTTTTTTTTCCCAGCGACGTTGGGGTTCGCGAGTGTGCCGAGTTGGCGTCACGGCTTCGATTCTCGCTCACGGCCAACCCCAGTGACGAACCGGTCCAAGGCTTCCTTCCCCTAGGTCGACTCAGCCTCAAATGAGTGCCTCGTGTGGTGTGTGACCATTGGGAGAGAGAAAGGGCGACCGGGCGTGGTGGTGGCCACAGCACTTGCCCCAAACAGCCCGTGAAGGCTGTACGGGGAACCTTTGCGTGTTGTGTTTGTCCGGGCAGCTGAAACAAACTTGCGTGTGTGTTTAACACGTAGGCTTTCGCGACCAATGTTATTCATAATCAACGATTTTTGGGTTTAGATCGCGTTTATTTATAAATAAACGCGATCTAAACCCAAAAATCGTTGATTATGAATTGCGTGTGTGTGTGTGGCACAGATGTAGTTGAGTTTCGTGTTCATAGCCAGGGCCTCGTTGCTCGCTGGACATTTTCGCTGGCGGCCGGGGATGGACTTGGGGCAGATTGCTTGTGGCCGACTGGCCAGGAGCACACGGGCATCGCGAGCAAGTTGCAATTTGTGTAACTACTGGACGTGGTGCGCGTGCCGGGTGCGAGAATCTCGTTAAACATCTACAAATAAAGGTCCATTCAGATAATAACGAATTATAAATGTTTGAATCCTCCACCGCCATCGGTTAACCGAGTAATTCGCCTCCCGTGGAGTGAGACGCTAATGTCGATAGAAAGCGGGGGGTGGGAGGGGGGAAAGGTCGCGTAAATTTACGCGACCTGACCCAACAAACTGAATAATTTACGCGATATAACCCAATTTTTTTTTATTATTACGCAATCTAACCCCCAAAAAACTGTATTATTACGCGATCTAACCCAAAAAAAACTAAATTATTTACGCGATCTAACCTAAAAAAACCTTGTATTACTTACGCTATATAACCCAAAAAACTCCTTAATTATTTACGCGATCCAACCCCAAAATAACAGAATATTATTTACGCGATCTAAGAAAAAAACCTGTATTATTTACGCGATCTAACCTAAAAAACCCTGTCCTATGGATGATATTGGTCACGAAAGCCGATTACGTGTTAAGCCTTAACAGACTTTAGGAGCAAGTAGCTGTTAGCGAGTAGCACCTATAAAGGCCGGCACGGCACACGAGTGGGTGGGTGGCCGGCAGCACGCCCGACCGCCTTTGTCTCCCCAGTGGCGATGTTTACACACCGCACCAGATACTCATTTGAGGCTGAGTCGACCTAGGGGGAGGCCCAACACCGATTCAGGTAATCGTCACTGGTGTTGGAGGCCATGAGCGGGGAATCATTTTGGGTGGCCGGTTTCAAGCGAGCAGCGCGCTAACCACTGCGCCACCGCTCCCCCCTCCCCCACCTCCACCACACAGACACGCACAGACGCACTCGCTCACACATCAAACGCGTTCCCTGCGCACACGCACACAGACGCGACGCATTGGTACAATACCGCAGCATACCTTGCATACGTGCGCAGCGGCTCGACACGCACGTGAACACAAACAAGGCCGTCGCCACCACTGAGTGATGTCAATTCTCGCGTCGTTATACGAGGGATGGAGCAGCTGAGTTTCGCCACAACGCTGTTTTTTTTTTTGGGGGGGGGGGGTAACGTCACTTTTTTTAAACGTAATATTTGACACTGCTCTTCTTACGAACGAGTTTAGGTTTTAGAGGTCTGTTCGTAAGTCGCTTTGTTTCGTAATTCCAACTTTACAGGACTCCTGTCGATTCCAAACACGTTGTACGTCATGCACACTAAACAATGGCTTTCAGAGTTGTATAATCTCCTGTGGATGTATAGGCCAATGGTTCTTCGCGTTCTGCAGATGTAGATGTCACTGATTCTTCACGTTCTGCAGATGAAGATGCCACTGGTTCTTCACGTTCTGCAGTTGTAGATGGTACTGGTTCTTCACGTTCTGTGGATGTAGATGCCACTGGTTCTTCACATTCTGCAGGTGTAGATGCCACTGGTTCTTCACGTTCTGTAGATGTAGATGCCACTGGTTCTTCACGTTCTGCAGATGTAGATACCACTGGTTCTTGACGTTCTGCAGATGTAGATGCCACTGGTTCCTCACGTTCTGCAGATGTATAGATGCCACTGGTTTTTGACGTTCTGCAGATGTAGATGTCACTGGTTCTTCACGTTCTGCAGACGTAGATGCCACTGGTTCTTCACGATCTGTAGATGTCGATGCTTAAACATCTGAACACCTGTTTTATTTCCAGAGAGGGTGAAACCTATCTTATTTGTTTCATATTTCTGAACCTGGTCTGTCCCGAGCCCCCCCCCCCCCCCCCCTCGAAAATAATCGTCTTCTTTCGTACGGCTGCTGATGTAGACGCAGCGCAAACGACTTACAATCTCACATTCAGTTGGCGAAGTTCAGCAAAGCCCGTCAGGAGTAGCGGAATTAGTTGCATCGTCATCGCTGCGATGTCCCCATCCTTCGTTTTTGTGGATCTGTGGCATTGTGTCGTGATGCCTCGCGCTCCCGTCTCAGTTCTGGGTGACCACAGTCGTACACCACCAGAGAGTTCTACATTTTTAAATCCGTTATATTAAGTTCGCTTGCTTGCTTAGGACCGTGCAAATATTTCGGTCGTTTTTTTTAACCCACTTCCCGTGATCCAATCGAGCTGACATTTTGCACACAGACTCGTTGTGCGTGACAATGAATTTTCGTGAAATTTTTTTTTCCAAAATTTTACACTGTTTAGGGAATTTTTTTAAAAATATTTATTTACCAATTGGTTAATGCTGGCACACAATCATCTGACCCATAGGTGGCAGCCATCTCAAGCCAGAGGACGAGAGGACTCTAGCCGCCCCGATGCCACGCATATAAAGGATTTATAGTGAAAAACTTTGTTTTTACGGGTTAATTTTTCCATTTGTGCATCATCAGCTGTCCGCATCCACTGCCGTGGTTTGTGCGGTGGATGCGGTTGAGGGTGGGGGCCGTGAGCTTCGTGGAAATATCAAACCCAGGGATTTAATATTTGGGTGTTTCATGTGATTATAATAGTGATGATGTGTAATTGTTAAAGACACAAATGTGAAGGAGGCCAATTGTCCACTTATCTGTGTTATGTTACTTCAATTATATAGTCTGCTACTGCTGCGTTAACACATTGGTGTACTAGCATCGACAACACCGTGAACTCAACTCGTTGTAGCGCACTGCGCTAACCACTACGCCACCGCTCCCCGGTCTGTATAGCTATGAACAGACTGTTGGGGCAAGTGCTGTTAGCGAGCAGCACCGATGAAGGCCGGCACTGCGACACACGGGCGGGGGGGGGGGGGGGGCAGCACCACACACACACAGCACCACACACACAGCACCACACACACAGCACCACACACACAGCACCACACACACAGCACCACACACACACACAGCGCCACACACACGCACAGCGCCACACACACACCACACTCACACAGCACTCACACACAGCACCACACTCACAGCACCACACTCACACAGCACCAC